GTTATTTAATAGGACGAACTCCTGACGATGCCAAAGTTTTTGGCGAAATATATTGAGAAGAAAATGATATAATTCTAGTGCTAGAGAGTAGAGTTGGGATTTGTTTAAAAAACGATCTGAAGTTTATAGATTCATTGATTCAATGATTCATTGATTCATATTTCGTTGATTTGTTGATTCGTTGATTCGTTGATTCGTTGATTTGTTGAATCGTTGAATCGTTAAATCGTTGAATTGTTGATTCGTTGATTAGTTGATTCATTGATTCGTTGATTTGTTGATTTGTTGATTTGTTGATTTGTTGATTTGTTGATTCGTTGATTCTTTGACTTGTTGACTTGCTATTCGTTGACTTGTTGATTCGTTGACTTGTTGATTCGTTGATTCGTTGAAGCATTGGATCGTTGAATTGTTGATTCATTGATTTATTGATTGATTAGATTGACCAGAATTTAACGATCTGTGTATTATTTCTATTCTCGAATATCATTATAATCATTAAAATCATAACGGTATAACATGGATATGTAATCAGCATCTTTATCTAACTCCACCCTGCGCTAATTGAAGGGAATGTTACTCATTTTTAAGAAATTCTACTTTTAACAAAATTGCCCTACCGTGAAATTAAGTTGAGAGTTAATTTGTCTAAAAATCTTCGAAATAATTATATATTTAGTTCTTTTAACACTTCATGTAAAAAGGTTTTTTGTTTGGTTAAACCTCACTCCCCCCCCCTCTCCGCTTAAAATAAACATACACTGATGTAAATTTTGTAAACAGTCCCTTTATTAAAACCTTTAAATGTATATTTCATGGAATCATTTAGATTGAGATATGGATTTATCGGTAGAATCTTAATTTAAGGTTTTACAGTTAAAATATTTCCTTTTTTATTGAGAAATGGACTTCATACTCTTCATACTGCATAGCTAAGTGTCCGAGTTCATTCAGCTTATCTCGGGAGATATCTTAATTCATAAATTCCGAGATTTCTCGCATCTATCTATCTATCTTTCTATCTATCTATATATCTATCTATCTATCTATCTATCTATCTATCTATCTATCTATCTATCTATCTATGCATCCATCCAACCAACATTATATCTATATCTAGTTATCTATCTATCTACCTATTTATCTAACTATCTATCTGGTCATCAATCTACGCTTATTTATCTATCTACGCATCTCTCTATCTGACTGTCTATCTATATATCCATCTATCCACGCATCCATATTCCTCTTTATACTTCTTACATATTCATCCAGCATCCTTACATACTTATTTTCATATTTATTCACCCGTATTCATGACTTTTTTTCCATCCATATATTTTTCCTTTTATTCATCCACCCATCCTTCTATATTTACCTATCCATCCATCATTTCATCCTATTATCTATCCATCCTTCATAATATCTATCCATCCATCCATTCATTCATTACTTCACCCATTCTTCCATATATTTATCTTTCCATTCTTTCATATATTCATCTATCCATCCATCATTTCATCCATCTATCCATTCATCTATCGTATCAATCCTTCCATCTATCCATCTATACACCTATATATCCATCAATCCTTTCATCTAGTCATCCACTTATTCATCCCTCCATCTATCCCTGAACATGAAACGAATTGTTGGATCTAGGTTATCTCTTCATCTCCTAATATTTATCTTTTTGCTTGAGTCTAATTACCACCTTCTATATTTTCATCTATCTATCTATCTAGCTAGCTATATCATCTATCTCAGTCTATACATCTATACCTCTATTTATCTATCTAGCTAGCTATATCATCCATCTATATATCTTTCTATCTAAAATTTTTCTCTCCATCTAGCTAACTGTCTGTCTACCCATCAAGCCATCTAACGATTTCTCCATCTGTCTGTCTATCTAGCTATTTTGATATCTAGCCATTAATTTATTAAGCCATCAAGAATTTAACACATCAAGCCATCGATCTATTTATCCATTAGTCAAATGTCCATCCATTCATCCATCCATCCATCTATCCATCCATTCATCCATCCATCTATTTATCCATCCTTCCATCTATCTATCTATTCAGGTCTATATCTCTACGGTATGATGGTAGAGTATACCACTATAGAATACAGCATGGCACTGAGGATAGTCAGGTACATACAAACATTTACAAAACATTTTGAAACCTTTTTTTTAAATCGAATAAATACGTTATGTCTCGGTAAAAGGAGTGTTCGGGAAAAATTTTAAATTCGGTTTCGATCGCTATATATCTGTTGTTTAAGTAAAATTAGTAGCGATCAAAACCAAATTCATTATTCGCAAACACTTCCTTTTGCAAACAATTTTATAATTCAATTCTTTGCTATTGCTAAATTTTATAGACTGCAGGAAATGATTGCTATAATTGCTAAATCATTCCAAATTTCTCAACGTTATATATTGTATATTATTTAGTATTTTTTAACTGCTGAATCCAGATTTCCTTTTCTAGCCGGACTATTGTATATTATTTAGTATTTTGTAACTGCTGAATCCAGATTTCCTTCTCTAACTGAACTATTATATATTGTTTAGTATTTTGTAACTGCTGAATCCAGATTTCCTACTCTAGCTGAACTATTGTATATTGTTTAGTATTTTGTAACTGCTGAATCCAGATTTCCTACTCTAGCTGAACTATTGTATATTGTTTAGTATTTTGTTACTCCTTAATCCAGATTTCCTGCTCTAGCTGAACTATTGTATATTATTTAGTATTTTGTTACTGCTGAATCCAGATTTCCTACTCTAGCTGAACTAGTTCATCATCATTCCTTACACTCCGACGGATTAATTACTCAGGTTGGTTGATGCAAGAAAAGAGGGGGATGGTGTTCTTTTATTTAAAGGGACTGTACTCGTAATTTGAAGTGAACCTTCATGCTTCGATGGCAAACTTGGTCTGATCAAGTATGAATTAGAAAAATGACAATATCTCCCACATTATTGATCAGATTATGGTTTCTAGGGTACCGTTGTGAATCGTGTTTTGCCATCTTTCCATGGAGGGTCATTTAAAATTACGCTCACAGTTCATTAAAACTGCATTTTTTATATTGTGAATTGTGATGATTTATTTGTTTAAATTTTTTTCTTGGTTCTTGCAGTTGAATTAAAGTTTGAATTTAAAAGATAAAATAACTAGCGCTTAAGTTTAATGAAAGAATATAACTGATTTTTACATTTATTAAGCTCTTTTTAGGGTAAAAAGAATTTTTAAATATTTGGTGGAAATTTGGACATCAACCTTTTTTACATTTATAACTTAAAATCATTTCCCCCATTCAGCAACAACAAAAACATTTCTATTCTATTTCTGATTTTTTATCAAACAATTTTGTAATTTTGTTCAAAGAAGTCTTAAACACTTTTGTTTAATGTTTAGTTGCTGTTAAAAAAAATATTCTGCCATACCTATCTATATACAGAAAAAGAAATACAAATTAAATTGTGTTGAAAACTGCATATTAGCCTTTCTGGGTTGGGGAGAGGGGGAGTTAATGCAGCACAGTGAACACTATTGTCAATACAGAGTAACCAGAAAAGTAGAATATTGGAAAAAATTATCTGTATTTGTTGAAAATGGGAAAATAAAAATTTCTCAATTTGTCAAAGAGAAATGTTTAGTTGCTGTATCCGGCTCCGAAGAGAAATAAACCCGCAATATTCGCCTTTAGTCCGGAAACCGACGAGTGGGAGATGGACAGGTGATTGATCGATTGATTTATTGATTGATTGATTAGTTGATTGATTGGTTGATGCATTGATTGATTGATTGATGCATTGATTGATTGATTGATGCATTGATTGATTAATTGATTGGTTGGTTCTTTTTTGATTGTGTGTCTGACTATTTGATTGATTGATTGAGTATTTTATTGATAAAATATTTGTTTGTTTATTTAATTAATTGATTAGTTGATTTATTGATTGATGTATTTATTGGTGGATTGATTGATTCATTGCTATATTGATTTATTCATTTTATAATTTGTTGTGACAGTTAATTTAATTGATTGATTGATTGATTGATTGATTTGGAAACTAACTAACTGACTGACTGACAAAATTAAAAAATTTTATTTTTCAAAGACTTGCATAATTTTATCAAGAATCTAAAAAAAAGAAAATCTTGTTTTTTACTTTAAAAAAAAATATCATTCTATATTTATGTAATATCTAGGACGGATATTGTGATGAAACATAAGCTAGGAGGAGGACAGTATGGGGATGTGTATGAAGCTATCTGGAAGATTCATAACGCAACCATAGCAGTCAAAACACTAAGGGTAATTTTATTTTATTAATTGCTAGCTAGCCCGGCGTTGCTCGTGGAAAAACAAATTTGAAAAAAAAGGTTGAAAATTTTTTTTTGATTTTTTTAGCCTATAGCACCCCCAGCCACCCATGAGTGTCCACACAAAATTTCAGCCCAATCGGTCCAGCCGTTTGGCCGGCTATACGCAACATATATATACGAATGTCTTGTTTTATTATGTAGATTTATAGAAGAGAATAAATGAAGAGAAACAAAAGGAAAAGACAGTTTTAGTTTAAATTGAATCTTTAACTCGTAAAGGACCTGTCGCTGTAATATCAAGTGACCCTCCATTTAAAGAGGAGAAGGTCTGATTCACAACGGTAAATCTTTAACTGATCAATAATATTGAAGATATTTTTAGCTTGACGATTTCTCTATTGTTTCCTCAGCGGATATCCGCTTAGGTCACTTTTATTGAGAAACCACTATTGAAAATAAGACATTTTCAAAGAGGAAAACTTAGATATCTCATTAATTCTTTTAGAGTACCGTTGTGAATCAAACACGTCGCTCTATAAATGAAGGGTCACTTGAAATCCACTTGAAATCAGTCCTTATAAATACGATTTGCTTAGTTAAAGTTTTTTTTAAAGTAGTGTACACAATAAACACTTACAAACATACTATAAAGTAAACACAAACAAACACATAAGTTAAAAAACAAACAATCACGGACACATAAAACAAACGTATTCACACACTCATAAAACAAAAGTCACAGACTCACAAAACACATAATTACACAGACGCAAACATTCAATAGATAAAAACAAACACACATTGAACAGGAACTAACGCACACGAATGCGGACACTAACACACAATTACACACTCGCAAACACTAAGATTTAGCACTGAGCGAACAAATACTTTCCCTCTTCCTTCCATTGTGTCGTTAATTAGTAGCACCCATTATACATACACACACACACACACACACACACGACACACAAACACATACATCATTCATAGTTTCACCTCTAATCCTTGATCTCGTAACGAATTAAGACTTGAAATGACTGACGTAGCGTACAGTATACTCCTTGTCCAAATTTACAAATTGTAGGTGACATAGATTGCCTTTATTAGCTGGCAACAGTTATCAACATTTTCTGTTGCTAATCAGTTTAGAGGATTTACTAACAATAAGGACGCACATTGATGGCGCGCATTATGAACACACATTATTGAGGACGATATACATAAACATATATTGCAGATTTTATTTTTAGTTTCACAAACATATTACTCAAATAATAGATAATATTCAGATATCCTATCTATACAAAATATAAAATACAAAATCTTACGCGACAGTTAAGAGAAACAAAGAAGACGATATTTAATCCACTGTAGTATTGTATTTACAATAATATTTAGGAGGATACAATGAAACAAAGAAGACGATATTTAATCCACTGTAGTATTGTATTTACAATAATATTTAGGAGGATACAATGAAACTATCCGAGTTCCTTGAGGAAGCAGCAATCATGAAGGAGATGAAACATCCTAATCTAGTCCAGGTTCGTTTAGTCATTCATTCATTTATTCATTAATTCATTAATTCATTCATTCATCCTTTCATTCATTTTTTCATTCATCCTTTCATTCATTCATTCATTCATTCTTTTTTTCTTTCTATTATTATTTCTTTCTGTCATTCATATATTCATTTATTCATTCAGTAATTTATTCATTCAATTATTTATTTATTCATTTATATCTTAGTTCCTTTATATATTTATTCATTCATTCGTTCATTTATTTATTCATTCATTCATTCATATATTCATCCTTTCATTCATATATATATATTTATATATTCATACATTCATTCATTCATATATTCATTCATTCATTCATATATTCATTAATTCATTCATATATTCATCCTTTCATATCTTTATCCCTTTACCTCTTCATGTTTTCATTTAGTTAATATTTTGTTTTTAAGTTGTTGGGAGTCTGCACCCGTNAATCCTTAAACACATTTATTTATTATTTATGTCAGTATTTTTATCTGTCCGTCGGTTTGTACGTAGTTCAATCAATTTATCCATCTAACTTTTTCTTTCTATCTTTCTTTTTATTGAAATATACCTATTTATTTGTATATTCTATCTATCTATCAATCTATTTATTTATCTATTTATCTATCTTTATACCTATCTACCTACCTATTCCTCTACACATGTTGTATACCTAAATAACTATCTATCTATTCATCCTACATGTTTGTAACTATCTAACTATTTATCTATCTATGTATCTATCTATCTATCTATCTATCTAAGTTTATGTTTATTAGAATATCCTTTTACCAGTTCTAATGTCTGCTAATATCAAGATGTAATCAAGATTCTTGCCATCTAAATACACCTTATTATACATTCATTTATTCATTCATCAATTCACCTATTAATTCATGAAATCATCTATTCATTTTTCATCTATTCATTCATCAATTCATCCATTCATTTATGCATTTTTTCATTTTTTTCTCCGATCTGTTTTACTGTTATTAAAATTTTTATCAAACATACATACATTTTTCCGATGAACTATTCATTCATTAACCTATCCATTCATTTTCACTAAGAATAATTCATTCATCGATCTATCTGTTTGATAAAATCGATCAATATGTCTTCTTGTCCTGCCTACCTTATCTAACTGTCCATCTGCTGTTCTATCTATACAATATCTATCTATCTATCTATACAATATCTATCTATCTATCTATCTATCTATCTATCTATACAATATCTATCTATCTATCTATCTATCTATACAATATCTATCTATCTATCTATCTATCTATACAATATCTATCTATCTATCTATCTATACAATATCTATCTATCTATCTATCTATCTATCTATCTATCTATGAATGTGTCCCACCAATATATATTTTATTGATCTTGATATTTTATAAAATCTTATTTCTACCTATATTTATTCATTTAATTCTTTATCAATAATTTTCTTCCTACCTATCTATCTATTCATCTTTTTCTGTCTATCCATCTATATATTTATCTATCTGTTTCTCTATTTGTCTATTTTAATATATACATCTGTTTTTCTATTTATCATCTTATGTATCTATTCATCTATCCATCTATCTATATTTCTAACTAGCTAGCTGGTTTTTTAAAACTATTTATCTATAAAATCTTTATTGCCAACAACTTGAATTTAATTTTTATCTATTCATCTCATTTTATTATTCTAGGTTTATACATCTATCCATCTATCTGTTTTTATTTCTATATATCGATCTATTCATCTATCTGTTTTTATTTCTATATATCGATCTATCCATCTATCTATTTGTCTTCTAAACCTTGAAATGTGTCTTAGGTTGCAGATTTCGGTCTGGCCAGGCTCATACGGGATGATACCTATACAGGTTGGTGTTTGTGTGTGCTTGTGCTTGTGTGTGTTTGTGCTTGTGTGTGTGTGTGTGTGTGTGTGATAAATCATACAGCTATTGTATGCTTCTGTAGTCGATATAATTAGTATTTTATCATCCATTCATCTGTATTTTATCATCAATTCATCAGTATTTTATCCTTCATTCATCAGTATTTTATCCTTCATTCATCAGTATTCTATCATCTATTCATCAGTATTTTATCATCCATTCATCAGTATTTTATCATCCATTCATCAGTATTTTGTCATCCATTCATCAGTATTTTATCATCCATTTATCAGTATTTTATCATCCATTTATCAGTATTTTATCATCCATTCATCAGTATTTTATCATCCATTCATCAGTATTTTATCATCCATTCATCAGTATTTTATCATCCATTCATCAGTATTTTATCATCTATTCATCAGTATTTTATCATCCATTCATCAGTATTTTATCATCCATTTATCAGTATTTTATCATCCATTTATCAGTATTTTATCATCCATTTATCAGTATTTTATCATCCATTTATCAGTATTTTATCATATCATCAGTATTTTATCATCTATTTATCAGTATTTTATCCTTCATTCATCAGTATTTTATCCTTCATTCATCAGTATTTTATCCTTCATTCATCAGTATTCTATCCTTCATTAATCAGTATTTTATCATCCATTCATCAGTATTTTATCCTTCATTAATCAGTATTTTATCATCTATTCATCAGTATTTTATCATCTATTCATCAGTATTTTATCATCTATTCATCAGTATTTTATCATCTGTTCATCAGTCTTTTGTCATCTATTCATCAGTATTTTATCATCCATTCATCAGTATTTTATCATCCATTTATCAGTATTTTATCATCCATTCATCAGTATTTTATCCTTCATTCATCAGTGTTTTATCCTTCATTAATCAGTATTTTATCCTTCATTCATCAGTATTTTATCATCCATTCATCAGTATTTTATCCTTCATTCATCAGTATTTTATCCTTCATTAATCAGTATTTTATCCTTCATTCATCAGTATTTTATCATCCATTCATCAGTATTTTATTATCCATTTATCAGTATTTTATCCTTCATTCATCAATATTTTATCATCCATTCATCAGTATTTTATCATCCATTTATTAGTATTTTATCATCCATTCATCAGTATTTTGGCTGTAATCCATGAAATCTTCCATCCTTCCATCAAGAAATCTACGAATTCTTCCATCCCTCCATTCTGTAATTCATGAATTCTTCCATCCCTCCATTCTGTAATTCATGAATTCTTCCATCCCTCCATCAAGTAATCCATGAATTCCTCCATCTCTCCATCAAGTAATCCATTAATTCTTCCATCCCTCCATCAAGTAATCCATGAATTCTTCCATCTCTCCATCAAGTAATTCATTAATTCTTCCATCCTTCCATCAAGTAATTCATTAATTCTTCCATCCTTCCATCCAGTAATTCATGAATTCTTCCATCCCTCCATCAAGTAATCCATCCTTTCCTCCATCTCTCCATCAAGTAATCCATTAATTCCTCCATCCCTCCATCAAGTAATCCATGAATTCTTCCATCCCTCCATCAAGTAATACATGAATTCCTCCATCTCTCCATCAAGTAATCCATTAATTCTTCCATCCCTCCATCAAGTAATACATGAATTCTTCCATCTCTCCATCAAGTAATCCATGAATTCTTCCATCCCTCCGTCAAGTAATCCATGAATTCTTCCATCCCTCCGTCAAGTAATACATGAATTCCTCCATGTCTCCATCAAGTAATTCATTAATTCTTCCATCTCTCCATCAAGTAATTCATTAATTCTTCCATCTCTCCATCAAGTAATCCATGAATTCTTCGATCCTTCCATCAAGTAATCCATGAATTCTTCCATCTCTCCATCCGGTAATCTAAGAATTCTTCCATCCTTCCATCCAGTAATCCAAGAATTCTTCCATCCTTCCATCTCTCCATCAAGTAATCCATGAATTCTTAAATCCAGTAATCCAGTAATCTATGAATTCTTCCATCCCTCCGTCCAGTAATCCATGAATCCAGTCCATCTCCCCTCCAATTCATCTATTCGTAAATTCGTCCCTCCAACTCCCCTAATTCATCCATCTATATTGTGTCAGAACTAATTTCTCAAAAAACATTCAAATTTTTCATTCTTGGAGTTCCTCAGGGGGACGTTCTAGGGTCTCCACTTGCCCAGGAGCTGTACAATGAAATTTGATTAGTTTAAGCCAAGGGTGCGGGTGGAGGAGGGGAAGGGGGGGGTCAGGAGCTAGTTTTCTTTAAATGCAGAAAAAGTCCAGAAACCTGTGATCTCTGTGACGCCTTAGTTCTTATTAGGTTGACTTCTTTAAGTAATTATCCAATTAGAAAGTTTTATATCAGATATAAATCTACCAACGAAGTTATGATGACTTGTTAAATATCTACCAATGAAGCCAGGTTGACAAAGTTATATATTTACCAAGGAAGCCAGATTGACTGCCTAAAAATCAACCAATAAAGCCAGGTTAACTAGCTAAAAATCAACCATTAATGCCAGGTTGACTAGTTAAAAATCAACCAATAAAGTCAGGCTGACTAGCTAAAAATCAACTAAGACAGCCAGTTTGACCAGCTAAAAATCAACCAATAAAGCCAGGTTTACTAGCTAAAAATCAACCAATAAAGCCAGGTTTGTTAGCTATAAATCAACCAAGAAAGCCAGGATGACTAGCTAAAAATCAACCAATGAAACCAGGTTGATTAGCTAAGAATCAGCCTATTAAGCCAGGTTGACTAGGTAAAAATCAACCAATGAAGCAAGGTTGATTAGCTAAAAATAAACCAATAAAGCCATGTTGACTAGCCTAAAATCAGGCAATAAAGCCAGGTTGACTAGCTAAAAATCCACCAATTAAACCAGGTTGACAAGCTAAAAATCAACCTATTAAGCCAGGTTGACAAGGTAAAAATCAAACAAGGAAGCCAGTTAGACTAGTTAAAAATTAACCAGTAAAGCCAGGTTTATTAGCTAAAAATCAACCAATAAAGCCAGAATGACTAGCTAAAAAACAACCAATGAAAC